ATCACAGGTAAGAGCACCATTTGTTGTGTTCCATCCACAACAAATTGATGTGTGTGTATTTATGTATCTACTATTTCTTGAATTATTACTGTCAGTCCAAAACAAGAGATTTTTTCTTGGTAACATTTAAAAAAAAAAAAACATCTCTTTTTCACTACACTATCTTGAATACTTTAGTTTTTACGTCACTACATTTATCTAACAGCTTTAACATTGTAAATGTGTCACTTCGGACTAATTATGACGGCATGTCCTACTCAGAGCCCTAGAGTCTCTCGGGCTCTGGTCCTACTATTTTGAGAGTTTGAACAAACCAGACCATCTATTAATGTAGAAAATAGTTGGCACATTACACCATTATGAAAGTAATAATTAGTTAGCTCATTGTTCAAATGAGCTCCAACTACAACAGTTAAGTCAACTCGTGCATCGGTAATAACAATAAATCAAATGATATAATATAATAGTATAACTTGTGTCTACTTTAACAACACTTTCCTAATTATACTAGCATACTTTTACTAAAGTAACATTAACATGTTTAAATGCAGGGCTTTTGTAAGAGAGTATTTCGTATAGTGTAGCATGGTCTACTTGACTTATCTAACCGAAGTGATCGTTACGTTACTTTGCAAACCGTCACAACCAACCAACCCACACACACACGTTGTGATTCACTTCAATTAATGGTAACGGAGCTTGCTAACAGCAAGGCACAAGGCTACTTCACTCATTTAGCTAGCTAATGTAAGATACAAATGCTGTCGAGCCCTCACTGCTTGTAAAATAAAGAGCACAAACTGACTACTTACCCGAGCGGCGAGCCCCGCTGTTCTCCGTCATTTTTCTCCCGGGTTGTTGTGATCACATGACTGACAAAGCCGTGCTCTGATAGGCCAGAAGTCGGAGTTGCATTAGGGCTCGATTGCTTATCCTGTCTGCGTAGCCCGGATGATGCTGCATCGCAATTTTGGACATCGAATTTTATACATCGAATTTTTTGAGGTCGAATTTTTGGGATCTGAATTTGAACATTCGAATTTTTTTCACTTGAATTTTTACATTTTTATTTCACATAGGTAAATTCGGAGCAAAAACATTTAGATACATGATTTTCAAAGTAATTATTTTCAATGTTATAAATTCGGTGTCTAATACAATTCAAATACTTCTGTCTCTTGTTTGCTTCCATACTATGCCTATTATTTTACGTCTGATGGAGACTTCATACTGACTTCAAGTTCCACATATTTTAGACATTATTGGTGACGTATGCTTTTAGTTCTAAAGTTTTCATTTCAAATATTCTGCTGCTTTTTCATGCATTTAGACTTTTAATTTCTTGTTCTTATATAGTGGGAATGCTGATACAGTTTTGAGATTTCTTCAAATGCTGTTACCATGGCAACACAATGCTCGCCATGAAAAACGGTTTTCTCATAACTTCAGTGAAAATGCTCCAGCCCAAAACTTCACAGGTTTGGTAACGATGCAGCCATCAACATATCTAAGTGTATTATGGGGTGTCATCAAATACCGTTGCCATGGCGATAGATCATTTCGACATCAAGTTAGTTCAAAAGTTGGCAGTTCAAATATTCTGCTGCTTTTCCAAGCCTTTTTACTTTCCTTTATTCTCTTATCACACATTCAAGCCCCCAGTGTCCATGTATCATTACAATCTACATTCTTCACTTTCTTCTTACACATTACATTTCAGCATAGCAGTTTAGCGTCAGCTTTTCAGCATAAAGCATTCCCACTAGCAATTTCTTCAGGAATTGCATTCTCCAGTTTGTATTAATGTGGACCGGAGGGAGAGGGTGACGAGCATAAGTTTCACTTCCCTTTTTTATTTCAATTCCAACTTTGGTCATATGTTTCTCTTTTGTCCACGTTCATAAAGCATAAAACAACAGCATCAGAGCACGGTGCAGAGTCTCTAGATGAGTTTACAGTAGTCCCTCGTTCTTATTATACATGTATAGAAAACTGTAGTTTCCATAGTTTCCCCACAGCAGCAGACACACATTTATGATGTCCGCTGACGCATCATAAACACGTCGGATAGTGAAAGTGCAGTTGGATTCTCTAAAGTACTGCAGTCTCTTCTCCTAAGTCCTTTTGAATTCTCCTATCGACTATCCGGGTCATTCCAGAATTGGAGGACATTTCATGTCCCCCATATAAAAAATCTAATAATCCATGCCCAAAATGCTAAAACATGCACTTGTTGTGTTAAACATAGGTTACTTGTCTTGAGACAAAATGTATATAAAGTTGTGGAAAAAGTGGTTTCAAAATATTATTTAAATGATCAAATAGCTCTCGAACATCCCCTAAAATGGCATTTTTCTCTTGTCCCCGCTTCTTGGTGACCAACTTGCATGTCAAATATAACATTTAAAATAGGGATTTTATTTACTTTTTTTGGTATTATTCTATTGATATATGTCTCTTGGTATGGTAAAATCAATTTGTTAAATCATAAACATATTTTAAATAACAGTAATTTTGCACAGAAGGTGTGTCCCTCAACATGCGTTCAACCCTGTTACCCAAACCTTTTTAGATTGGCACAGGAAGTGAACAAACTGTAAGTCAGATGACACAGTGGAAAGGACATCAGCAAGCCATGTGCTAGTGCCATGGGTAGACCAAAACTAAGTCCTCTCTTTTATTTTTCATATTTTTACAATCTTTTCAGTCTTAAAAGAGTGTGGCACTCTGACCCACTCAACCCTGTTACTGATATTATCAGAATAAAGCATATTCATTTCAAAGTTATCTTTCTGGCATTAGATATCCAAGTGTGTCCTTGCCTTGGAAAGTAGCATTACATGCTACATCTAGCAATAATTCCTGAGGTTAAAGGCTCAAATTAGCATTGATTTTCAACCCTGTTACTTTCAACCCTGTTACTATAATTAGAGTAACAGGGGTAATTCTTCATTGGAAAATATACATTTGATGCCTTAGCTGGACAAATCACTTTTTTTGATGGTTTATTATCTGTTTTTCCTAAATACATTTTTCAAAAATGTTGGTGTCTAAATTGTCCTCCAATTCTGGAATGACCGATCCCTTAACCCCGTGACGTTTCACGCAGAGGTCAAGGAATAGACGATAGGGTTAGACGTTAGGAGCTGATTTTTGGACTATTCGACTGCAACCCTAATTTCGGAAAAATTATGTATTGAAGTCAATGGCGAGAGAAAAGTTATCTTTCGATCCCGTTTGAATTGTTCCACAAATTAAACAGCATACATTTTAAATTGTGATTCAGAAAGTAATGTTATTTTTAGGAGTGTTGTGAGATGGTGTCAACATCAATTGAAATTAGTCACCCAGTGGAAATGTCAGATATATCTTCATAACTGTATCCTTACATTTTACATTCACTCAGTTATAATGTGGTAGTTGTACGTAGTTTATTTTTAAATGATTAATGATCACATTATATAGTACATATTTCTTAATTTAAGCTCCAGTATATATGAATATGTTTGATGTGTTTTTTAGGTATATTTGTTATTGTCCGAGTAAACGCTTTTATTTTGAAGGCAGTTTTTACATGCCTCTACCGTAATGCATAGGATATTCGCGCACCGCAATACAACGTGCTTTTGACTGTGTTTTCCGAAGTGTGGGCTGGCTTGACTGTGTTTTCCGAAGTGGGGGCTGGCTTGACCACAGTCTGTTTACCCAGTGTTTCCTGACATTAAACGTTTTATTTCACCTTGCTATGTGTTTTTAACATATATTAAAAAACGGGGACATTTCCGGGGACAGTTTCAACCGGGGACAGGCCAATAAAAACGGGGACGTCTGGTCACCCTATTATAGAATAATCACACCGGTGTGACAGTACTCTTCAAAGGGTTCACGACGAAATATGACTACTACTCTTACTGTTTACCATTTTGGGTTACTTAATGTTACTTCATGTTAAGGCTAATAAAAATGACAAGGCTAAGGCTGTAATGCTAACTAGCGTGCTTGCTACTAGCTAGGTAGCTAACTTGATCCAGCCATTCCTGGTCCTCTCATCAGACGGGAAACGAAAGTACGAGCAAGACCCGTAATTTGCTGGTATGATTACAACCTGGTACTAAGCACACAGGCATCTTGTTAAATGTATCTTATCTTAGCTATCTCTTATATTTAGTGGAGGAAAACAATTATGACATCACTTACGCGACTCTGGGATTTGTAGTCTTTCTTGTTGCGTATTTTTCATAGTCTTATATTTCAACAGTTTTACGACAAACGAAAGATACGTTTTCTCTCCCCATTGACTTCAATACATAATACCACTAGCTGCTCTTGCAGTAATAAGTAGTGCACCTTTCTTACTGTCCTAATGTGCCCAATGTAGTGACTGCTTTTTTGTCTTTTGTTTTCTTAGTTATGTTCTCTGTATTTTATATGTTTGTGTTATGTGTTATGTGCAACGTTGCTGCCTTCTTGGCCAGGTCAGCATTGCAAATGAGATTCTATCTCAATGCTTTTATCTGGTTAAATAAAGGTTAAATAAAGGTTAAATAAAATTAAAATAAATAAAATAATTGTTCCGAAATAAGGTCCCATGGGTCGGACTCGTAAGTAGATGGGCGGGACTTCGCCTCAGGGAACTTTGCAGACCATTGACATGCACAAAAACAGCTATATGGCGCTGACAAAAACCTATATAACACACTACAGGAAAGGGAAAAACCTAAAAAAGCATAATAGAGCCTCTTCCAGATATTTCCAGCACAGGAGGAAAAGTTTCTAAATAATTTCAGCAGCTCTTTTTCACATTATTTTATTTCACATTTCCCTCCAAACTGTCCACAGTTTACTTTTGAAGCAAATGATTGAGTGAACATTCTTGTTGTAGGTTAAGTGCCCTCTAGTGGACAGAGGGTTATTAGAGAAACATGGGGATCTTTTAGGTTCTTTGCGAGTGGTTGAGGTTTCATCACAGTGGAATAATTACTCAGGTGTTTTGCTTAAGTAAGTTCAGCATTTTTTAATGAAAACAAATAAAACAAATGTACAGCAATAAGATAAGAAGAAAAATGATACTCAATCATCTCAACCTGACACGTTTCATTTGCATATTTGCATCACAATCATAAAAAAACAAGGTCGGACGAATAAATACTGTACAGAATGAAATGAAAGAGGATGATTACATGTTACTGTTCTGAACTTAAACAACATGTCTTTCTTTCTTTTCTTTTTGAAATATCTGAACTATTTATTGTTTTAAAACTTGATTAAAGCTACCCTGTTTCCATGTATGAAATATTTGAATGGTGCATTATTCAATCTAAACTCAGAAAGGGCGATGATAGGTGAGTCTAAGAGAACTGAATCTATGTGCAACCACAATTATAACTTTGATTTTCAAAAAACAGATTTAATCATTTTTAAATATATTTAATGAAAGATAAGAGAAAGTTTAACCCCTCTTTTAAAAACACTTAATTTACTCAATGTGCGCATGTCCTATGGGAAACATATACGCTTTTATTTTGGAAGCAAAGTGATTCAATTTGATGAAGCGCGGAGAGAATACACACACATTCACACACACTCACAATCTCAGTTTTCAAGACATTTTCTACAACCTGAAATAACACTTCAGTGCATTCTGTTTTGTTTCATTCCAGTATCGTAACTTGACCCCAGTGAAGACTCTCAGGCCTCAGTGTTGCTGATAAGGAAGCAAATAGAAAAGCAGCAGCTGATCTTTACATTATTGCATCATGAAGACATCATTTGACAAAGGAGGAGGAAGTTCAGTTTCAGAGTTTAGAGATTTGTTTTAGTGAGTTGACCAGCTTCATCAACATTTGAGTAGTGTGCATGGCGAGGAGATGAGATAGTTACCACACCATGAGACCAAAATACTGCATAGATAAACACACACAAACATACTGTCCTTTAAACAGATTTTTGTTCATTATTGGAAGACCGAGATGCTTCAAGTGCTTCAGGAGGAGGCAGGAAGACGGACAGGAAAATATCGACCATTTGAATCCATATTTAACCTCCAGTGTTATCACTTTCATTTTACATAAAAATGGTGCTTGTTATGTTATTTCGGACTTATTTCTGCTCAATGGCGTTCATTTGCACTGTAAATGTTTTGATTATTGCTTGGAAAATACTAGTTAACTTTTGCACTTCATCCGTAAATGGTTCTTACATTAGACATCTAATTAGCCATTTGACAAATAAATAAATGCAAGCTTTAAAAAGTTATTTGAAATGCATCGTACTTATTAAATGTGTTTTCATTATTTTTAGTTTTTTCACCCCCACCTTGAATATAAGGACGATCGATCAGGACCTATTTGCATCCTTTTAATATCCTTTAGATGAGCTCATAGCCAATGATAGAAGAGCGTTCAGACACTTGTCGTGTGGAGTGTATCCTGAGGGTGGCACTAGAGTCAAAATAATGAGGCTGAGTCTTTCATTCATGTAACGTTTCTAAAAGAATTGGACGGACAGATCAGACAATGGTTCCCAACCAAACACTATGTCCTCCAGTTAGAGAAACATTTGCAAGGTCAGCTGTCTAGGTAAATAGCCAAGCATTTTCTCACCAAGGGCTAATAGGTTTGGGACTGAGGAGGTCAGAAAGTATTGCTAGACAAACACATTTGTGTCTATGTGTCGTATTGTTGACAATAAAAGAAATAAAGAATATTGCCAGCCTTATCTTTATCCTTCTTCCCAGTTTGTTTGCTCCAGATGATGTATGTTAGGAACAGGTCAAAACTTAGTGCAGGACAACATTCGTGGCATCGTAATCCAGTGTTGATATGATATAAAGACATCAGCAGTAGCATTTGTTCATGACGGAGGACGTCTGACATCAGGTCTGTGCTGGTTCGCTCCTCCAGCAGAGGAAAGAAGAGTTTTTCAAGTTTTTAGATTCTGCTCGTCCATTATGGTTCTTCACAAATCCTGGTTAACCGCAGACACATGAGAACAAGAGATTCCATCTTCTTTAGTAGCTATAGGGGCTCTTTTTTGGTAAAATGTCAAAGAAAGAAAAAAATCTAGTAAGAATTCATAAGTTGAGTGTTTATTTGTTGAGGGGTTGTTTAGAATCAGCTGAATCTGGAAAGCAGATTTTCTTTTTCCAGGGAGAGGTATTGCTTTTCTTGAAATGTCGGAGTAAATTCATTTTAGTCTCTGTTCGGTTCTGGTTTATAAAATCCTCGGTTGCTGTCGGGTCAGTTGTTACGTTTCGTCCCGAGAACATCCAGAAGACGGAGGAGGTTCAATCTCACTTCGAAGCCAGGTGAGCAGGTTGCAGGTTTGAATCCCTGCAGCCACGATGGCAGAGCTTATGTCTCTTTTGGACTATCTGTCACTCCAACAAACTGGAGGTCAAAGGTCACAGGTTTGATTCCTGTTCCCCGACGCCGAGCTCAGTAGGGTGCAAAGAGGATCGATCCTTGGCTCGCTCTGATTGGTCCAGGAGCCGGACGCAGGAAGGAGGTTGTGAAGATAGACGAGGAGCAGGGAGGGCGAGGATGAAGAGACATGGTGGGGCTGAGGGGTGTGGAGTTGGCAGTGAAGAGGGGGGAGGAGAGAGAGGAGGGAGAGAGGGAGATGGTTGTGGTGAGGGAGCAGGGAGGAGGAGCAAAGGGAGTGGAGAGGAAGGACGGAGAGATGGAGGGATTCACCAACTCGCCCTGAGGAGGAGAGGAGAAGAAAAAAAAGACAGGAGACAAGGAGAAAACAGTGTGAGGAGAGGACAGGAATTTGGGAAAGGTGAGTAGAAAAAAGGAGGTTAAACAAGTACATATTTAAAAAAACAAATAAATGAATTGCTTAATAATTAAGGATTAAAAAATGTATTCTGAAATGATTTACTACAGTCGCCAAATATTGATCCATAACAGCATTTATACTTGATGAGTTTGTTGATCTGCACAATATTGTACAAATAGTTCATGCCAATAAAGCAATTTGTATTAAAATGAGAGAGAGAGACAGAGAGAGAGAGAGAGAGAGAGAGAGAGAGAGAGAGAGAGAGAGAGACAGAGAGAGAGAGAGAGAGAGAGAGAGAGAGAGAGAGAGAGAGAGAGAGAGAGAGAGAGAGAGAGAGAGAGAGAGAGAGAGAGAGAGAGAGAGAGACAGAGAGAGAGAGAGAGAGAGAGAGAGAGAGAGAGAGACAGAGAGAGAGAGAGAGAGAGAGAGAGACTTACAGAGAGTGGGCTGCGCTGCTGTTTGTTGTAAGGGCTGTATTTGGGTTTGCTGGGTTTTCCGGCCACTCTGTCCTTGTGCCTCCTGCTGGAGATGTGCTGCAACAACAACACCAACATCAACAACAAAGTTATTATATTACTCTGTTCTTTCCACCATAACTTTAATATCACACTGTTAAACTGTGGCAGTGCCTGAAACCACATACTTTTAGTTTGTAGTTTTAATTAATTTTTTTATGTCCAAATTCCAATACGTAAAGCCTCCCAAAAATGTGAACTCAGATATTTCACAATGAATGCCTTTTGCTCCAAAATGTTGAGTTGTTTAAAACAGTAAATCATTTTCTAGCTACATAATGGAGATACAAAAGCTATTAGAAACAAAAACATGAATAGAAAGGTGCCTTTCAAGTTGGTATTTTAATGTTACTGCTCATTGGGTACAACAAGCTGCTTTGTGGCTTTGCTCAGAAGGAGATTGTAGATCTGAACAGGATGAGTCACAGATTGGGCTCTGTGTAACACTAGAATAAAGTTATTGCTCCCTGGGTTTCTACCTGTTTGAGCTGGATCTCAGAGTTGACATGAACGTCACAGATCTGGCAGTGGAAGGTTTTGTTCTGCAGGCCGGAGCCCTTCAGCACCGAGCTGCTGCCGTTCTTCAGCTTGGCCCCGGCACGAGGGTACGCCTTGATCGGCCCAGCGCCGCTCCGAGCCTCCATCATCGTCTTGTGCTTTGAACCTGCAGATAGAAACAATCAGAAACTAAACTTCCATACAAAACACAAAATCACAAAGCCTTAAAGGTGGGGTAGGTAAGTTTGAGAAACCGGCTCGAGATACACTTTTTGTTATATTCCATGGAATGCTCTTAACATCCGATAGCAATGAATATCTAAAGTGCTTTGACAAAAAATCCATAAAAAAATGTCATCTGTGGAAGCCGTAGTACTGTAAAAATCCCGGATAAAATAACTGGATGGCCTACCTGCCTGTCAGCCTTCCATCTGTGCACAAACTTATCTCATGCCCTCATTGGTCATGTGCACGTTCTTGTGTGTTGGAGAAGGGGCTCTGTAAGGAAGTGGCAGATTTTCTCCGGTTGTGTATTTTCAAATTCTAGCGCACTCGAGCTGGTTTCTCCGAAATTACCTACCCCACCTTTAATGCTAAACTTCTTGCTGTTGTTTAAAGATAGATTTACTTCCATCAAGCCCATTTCTTTCAGTTAATTTATTTCTTAATCAACCTGCAGAGACTTCCAACTTGCTGAAGTCATGAAAGTATAGGAATCATCATCACGTGGTAACATGAGTGTTGAAAGCGCTGTCTGTTGATGCATTCAAGGACACTTAAAAATGTGAGAGTTGGCTGCTTATTAGAGAACAAACAAACAAAATGTATCTGTTGCAAAAAGTTTGTACATGTAGCTAAGGTGCCACAGTTGTTAGGTCTATAACAACAACAAACTTAGCAGATCAATCATCAGGTATATGAAGCATATTGAAAAGTTGCTCAAGCTTCAACTGAAGACATGAAAAACGGCAGCAGATGAAACCACATCCATACTTCATCTATTCCCCCTCACCTGCATTGTGAGCCTCCAGCTGAGAGAGAGAGTTGACAGCTACTTTACACAGAGAGCAGTACATCAGCTTCTTCGCCTTCTCATCCTCTGTCTCTGCCAAGGAAGGAGCATCCTGGGAAGAGGCCAGGGATGGAGGAGGAGGAGGAGCAGGGGATGAAGAGGAGGTGACAGGAGCTGGAGGAGGGAGAGGCGGAGAGGCTTTGGAAGAAGGGAAAGAGGGTGAGGAAGAAGAGGAGAAGAGGCCCGGGGCAGGGAGAGCAGTGGGAGGACTGGAGGGAGGAGGCTCACTGCCTGGTCTGCTGGAGGAGGGGGAGGTGGAGGAGGGAGGGGAGAAGGAGGGGAGGACGAAGGGATTGAGAGTAAAGGAGTCTGTGAGGCCAGATAAGAGATCTGGAGGAAGGATGGGTAAAAGGAGGAAGAAGAGGAGTAATAAATAAATAAATTCACTAAAATCACTTCCCAAAATGAAAATCAGTAACATTAACAGTGTTAAGATCATCTATTAAAATTAACCTGTGTGCTGATTGGTGATGCTGTTTGCTGAGACAGGAGGGGCGGGGCAAACAGGACTCGTTCTGCTCCCATTGGTCTCTCCGGTGATTGACAGCTTGGCCTTGGTCTTGTTCTCCTGAGACTTGAGCTTCTTGGCGTGACGACTGCCCCTGAAATGAGCCTCTGCCTGAGACTGAAGCAAGAGACACACAGAGAGATTTCACTTTCTGGTCGGGCTAAAGTCCTGATGTGACTTCCTGTTCAGCCCCTCAGCCACTAGCTTTAGAAACTCAGTACGAACTCATAATGACCGTTTCTGTCATCGGTTTTCTCATAGATTTCTATTCAATTAGACTTGCAACAAGTTGAGTTACTGAGTATTAGAGAGAATGTAGGTTTTAGGCACTTCTACATAGGTTTCACTTTTCCCTGAGAACTGGCAGAAATCCCTGAAAGTGAACTTATCTTTTGTGAGGTAAACTCCAGAGGCGGTGCTTTCAGCACTGGATATGTCCATCGCGCGCATGCGCAGCTCGAGTACCAATACCAACAAAGTCACCTGTGACCCACGTGACACCGGCTATATCAGCCGGTGTCGTCAGAGGATCTGTTCCTGTCATCTTCTCGCTGCGCGAGGGTACCATGGCTACATTTTTGTAGCCTACAGCGTTCAGGTTTGAACGTTTGATCTGAGGGATTTCTCTGCAAGCAGCTGGCCGCGTGCAGCTTCGTGACTGACAGTCGGAGCTACGGGTCGTTAACGCGTCCTCCAGGAGCTGTGGCCGGCTGTGCGCTGTGCAGAGCCTCGACAGACAGGTTGGTGTCAGCTTGTTGCTGGTGATGGCTGTGTCCCCGCACCCTCTCCCAGCCAAGTTGTCCTGATTGCTGTCTTATTTTTTGTTTGGCTTAGACTTTCTGGTGACGACAGTGTTCCCGCTTCCTCTCCCATAAAGTTGCCCTTATGCTCTTTTGAAAGTTCTGCTTGTGGCGTTGTGCCCGAGCTATCATTAGCATTTGAGTCCCAGCTTTGGCTGTGTCCCTCATTCAATTTAACCCGTTTTTCGTTTAGATGCAGAGAGTAAGGTAAGTACTTTCTATTTCTTAGAAGCTATTATCTGGTCTTAACATTTGTGTTCTGACTTGGTCGCTTGATTGTTAGCAGCAGCCGCTTGGCTAACACCTTGCTGTTGAGCTTAACTATTAACTCAGCCGGTGAGGGCAGTGCTCCCGCTTCCGGTAACATAGGGTTTGATTGCAGTAGCGCTAGATCGTTGTATTACTGCTCCTAGTACTAGACTCCTAGTACTAGGATGATATGCAGAGAACATCTTCACTGCGGGTACTGTGTGCTCCGCATGTGCGGTTACTACTGTAACCATGGCCTACGGTTCTATGCGGGCTGTTCTCTTTCTTAGAAGCTAATTATCTGGTCTTAACATTGTGTTCTGACTTGGTTGCTTGATTGTTAGCAGCAGCCGCTTGGCTAACACCTTGCATGTACTGTTAAGCTTCATTATTTAACTCAGCGGTAAACGCATGGTATGGTTGCAGTAGCGCTATATCGTTGTATTTACTGCTCCTAGTACTAGACTCCTAGTACTAGACTCCTAGCACTAGGACGATATGCAGAGAACAATCTTCACTGTGTGATGTGTGCTCTGCATGTGTGGCCATTAAGGAGGATTTCATCCTCCCAATATTATATTATCTAGTGGGCAGCCGTTTGGCTGACACTTTTAGGCACCGGCCACAGTTACTACTGTAACTAAGGTTCCAAGCCGTAAGTACTGGCCATAATTACTACTGTAACTACGGTTTCAAGCCGTGTAAGTACTGGCCATAGTTACTACTGTAACTACGGTTTTAAGCCGTAAGTACTAGCCATAGTTACTACTGTAACTACGGTTTCAAGCTGTGTAACTACGGTTTTAAGCCGTAAGTACTAGCCATAGTTACTACTGTAACTACGGTTCCAAGCCGTGCAAGTACTGGCCATAGTCAATACCGTAAACGGCTCTATGCTGTGTAAGTACTGGTCATAGTTACTACTGTAACTACGGTTCCAAGCCATGTAAGTACTGGCCATAGTTACTACTGTAACTACGGTTCCAAGCCGTGCAAGTACTGGCCAGAGTTACTACTGTAACTACGGCTCTATGCTGTGTAAGTTCTGGCCATAGTTACGACTGTAACTACGGTTCTAAGCCGTGTAAGTACTGGCCATAGTTACTACTGTAACTACGGTTATATGCCGTGTGAGCACTGGCCATGGTTACTGCTGTAACTACGGCTCTGTGCTGTTCTCTTCTTTCGAAGCTAGTTATTTGGTCTTAAACATGTGTGTTACTTGACTTGATATCGCTTGATCGTTAGCAGCAGCTGCTCGGCTAACGTCTTGCGTGTACTGTTAAGCTTCTTTATTTTACCCAGCTAGGTGAAGGCAGTGCTCTCGCTCCCTCTACCGGTAATGCGGATGTAGCTACATCCCTTTTTCTGTTCGGTGAGTAGTAGCACCGCTCTACTCTTCCCGTTCAGCAGGTAGCTGGTGAAGGCTGTGTTCCCGCACCCGCTCCTGGTAAACGCCAAACTGCCTCATTTTTCCGTTAAGCAGGTAGTTGGTGAAGGCTGTGTTCCCGCACCCGCTCCCGGTTACGCTGCGTCTGGCAGTCGTCTCTAACTCAACCAGTGAAGGCAGTTCTCGCCCCCGCTCCTGGTAGACGCCAAACTGCCTCGTTTTTCCGTTAAGCAGGTAGCCGGTGAAGGCTGTGTTCCCGCACCCGCTCCCGGTTACGCTGCATCTGGTATTCGTCTCTAACTCAACCAGTGAAGGCAGTGTTCTCGCCCCCGCTCCTGGTAGACGCAGAACTGCCTTGTTTCTCCGTTAAGCAGGTAGCTGGTGAAAGCTGTGTTCCCGCACCCGCTCCCGGTTACGCTGCATCTGGCATTCGTCTCTAACTTAACCAGTGAAGGCAGTGTTCTCGCCCCCGCTCCTGGTAGACGCGGAACTGCCCTGTTTTTCAGTTAAGCAGGTAGCTGGTGAAGGTTGTGTTCCCGCCCCCGCTCCTGGTAGACGCTGAACTGCCGTGTTTATTAATCCAGCCAGGTGAAGGCAGTGCTCTCGCTCCCGCTCCCTCTGCCGGTAACGTGGGTGTAATTACATCCCTCTTTCTGTTCGGCGAGTAGCAGCAACGCTCTACTCTTTCCATTAAGCAGGTAGCTGGTGAAGGCTGTGTACCCGCTCCCGGCTACGCTGCATCTGGCTACCTACGGAATGGCTCATTCATGTAGCGCCTGTATGGCTTCTTTTGAGCCCGAGGACGGCCATGACCGCTGCCCCTCCTGCCTCGGCCGCCTCTGGCGGTCAGTGGGGACGAAATGTGAGCATCTGAGGGAGGTTCTCACGGTAAACGCGTGCATGAGCTGTAGCTGCATGCCTCGGGCGCTCAGAGTGGCTAGAATCACTGAGGTGGAACGTCTGGCAGCAGCCAACAGACACCTCTCCTTGTCACATCCTCCTCCAGATCAATTCGGCCGTTCCCGGCGACTTGAGGGAGCGATGGCTATGTGTGCTCCCCGCAATAGAAGGACTAGAAACAAGCTGTCCTCTAAAGTGGATTGGCTAGCTGCCGATAGGGGCATGATGAAGTCGCCTCTTGGCCCTTCAGCCTGGGCCCGGTGTAGGGGCTGCTAGCGGGCCTGTCCCCCCCCCCCCCCCTTCGGTTGACGCCCCTCCTTCGGTTGGCGCACCTCCTTCGGTTGGCGCACCTCCTTCGGTTGGCGCACCTCCTTCGGCTGACGCACCTCCTTCGGTTGATGCACCTCTGTATGAGGAGGCCTTGTCGCTGGTACAGACTCGTCGCCAGGTTTCGCTGGACCAGTCACCACTAACGGAGGCATGTAGGAGAGTCCTCCGTAGCGTACCAGTCGAGCCAGGAGAGCTGTTTAGGTCAGCTGCCCTGGAGGCACTGGAGCGTGCCGCCCAAGCTAGGCAGACCAGGCAGCAGCTCTCGGGTCTTCGCAGACCTGTGCCCACTCCCAACAGGCCCAGGTGCCGCTCTAGCAGCCGCACTCAGCCGCCGGATTACAGGGGTGGTCTGCAGAGGTCTTAGCGGCGCGACCCAATGACTTTCGTGCCCAAGGTCGCCCGCCTTCCAGACGGCTTCGTGCCCCAGTGACCCCCCGGTCGTCGGCTGCTTTCCCAGCAGCAGCTCAGTTACTGGGCGGTCTGTACTTCTGTCTCTTGGGTGGTTTTCACCTTAACCCAGGGGTACGGACCGCAGCTCCGGCCCCTAGCCTTTGGCTGGGTCTAATTGACAGTCGTCAGCGATCCGGCAGGGGCCCTAGCTCTGGCCCAAGAGTTGTCAGTCCTTCTGTCCAAGGACACAATCAAGCCAGTAAGACCCTCTGCTTATCCCAGGGGGTTCTACTCGGCGTACTTTCTCGTGAGCAAGAAAGTCGGCGGATTTCGCCCGATCTTGGACCTCAGAGGAATCAACAGATTCCCGAAGGTGCTGCCATTCTATATGCTGACCACTGCATATGCACAGGTGGAGTGGTTCACAACCGTGGACTTGAGGGATGCCTACTTCCACGTGGGCCGGGCAAGATGGTGCCTTATATTCAGGTCCTCCGGCCCTTGGGCAGACTGGCAGCTGCCTCGGCCGCTGGGCCCTTAGGCCCGCTGTCGTTGCGCCCCATGCAGATGTGGCTGAACAGCCTTCACTTGGACGCCAGGTGGCACAGGCACAGGGAATTCAGGGTGTCGCAGCATTGCCTCCACTCTCTGTCACGCTGGAGGGGCAGGGCCTATCTCCTAGTGGGCGTGCCCATGGGCGCCATCCCATCCCACCAGGAGACCATCACCATAGGTTCATGTCTCTCAGGGTGGGGTGCAGTGCGGCAGGGCAGGACCGTTCAGGGTCAGCGGTCTGCCCAGGAGAGTGCGCGCGCGCAAGGTCAACGTGCTAGAGCTTCGGGCTGTGCAGCTTGCACTCACGCACTTCCTACCCCAACTGGGGGGCAAGAATGTGCGTGTTCCTTGGGGACAGCATGTACGTTGTTGCTTAGACAACAGTCCCTTCTAGATAGTGGACGTTCTCACTCCACTCTGAATTTATGTGGCTGCGATTTCTGCCCGACATGTTCGGGTCGACGGCGCCACGGCGGGGTGCCACAGGTCGGTGTCCCTCTTTATGAGAGGGGCTTTATGGCAGCGTCCCCCTAGCACCCCGAGGGCTCCGGCTTGGGACCTGCCTCTGCTGCCGGATGCCCTATCATCTCCTCCTTTCGAGCCCCTGGCCCAGGTGGGGCTTAGGTGGCTGCCCACGAAGGCAGCATTTCTGCTTGCCATAGCCTCAGGGAAGCGAGTCGGGGAGTTGCATGTCCTCTCCATAAACAATACATGCCCGAGGTGGGACTCTCAGGCGTTGCCCTTTGGGCAAATGTGGCATTCCGGCCCGGGGTCCTTCCACAAACCCACTTCAATCAGCCTGCCCAGCTGGCACGCTTTGACATTCAGGAGTACGGCACGTCGAAGTTGCTGTGCCCTGGGGGTGCCCAAAGGGCGTATATCAAGGCTACTGCCTGTATACGGCAGTAGGAGCAACTCTTGATCTTGCCCTTGCGGCACTAAAGGAGGTTATGCCCTCTAACCAGTGGCTGCCCCACTGGGTTGTCGATACCATCTCTCAGGCTTACGGGGCCAGTGGCCGCCCCCTGCCATCAGGCTGAGATGCCACTCTACAAGGAGCATCTCAACATCTTGGGCTGCCCTGAGGGTGGTGCCCCTGGAGACCATCTACGCCGCAGCGTCGTGGGTGTCTTCTGGCACATTCTCCAGTTGTCATCAGGTCAATGTCGCCACTCCCCATTCTTTGGGCGTGGTCCTTTTGCCAAGCTCCGCTGTTTCCAGTGGTGAGCAAGGGCTTGGATTCTTCATGACATTGTTGGTATAAGTCATCCAGTGCTGAAAGCACCGCCTCTGGCGGTCAGTAGGGACGAAATAGAACGATAGTTACGGCTGTAACTACGGTTCTATGAGTCCCGGATGACCGCCAGAGTTCCCTGTCACTCAGAATTCTTGTGTGCTCGCGAGAAGATTCTGGGAACAGATCCTCTGACGACACCGGCTGATATAGCCGGTGTCACGTGGGTCACAGGTGACTTTATTGGTATTGGTACTCGAGCTGCGCATGCGCGCGATGGACATATCCAGTGCTGAAAGCACCGCCTCTGGCGGTCATCCGGGACTCATAGAACCGTAGTTACAGCCGTAACTATCGGTTTATTCCCTTGGTTGCAATCTTCAGCCTCATTGCTAGATGCCGCTTCATCTTAACTACAGAACCAGATTAGAATTGAATTAGTTCTGGAAGTATTAGGTCCTGCGCCAAAGTAATGAACAAATAACAATGTTCACCTGGTTGCAATAACCTGTGTGCATTATCTTGTTTTTCATTATCCAGATAAGGTATCCAAATGGAAGGTAGAGATGTTGTCTTTGTTCCACAGGGAAACAAACCTCCAGGTTAACAGTGTCCTCATGTGACTGTCTGGATTCTCAATGACTCAGCTTTTATTCAATGTACTAGACTGAGCCCTTGCTGCCCTTTTACTCCTCTCCTCCCTCCGGAAGTGATTCCTGTTTTCATGTTCACTCATGAATAATTTGAACAGCTCATAAATATTTCATGTTTGACTGGCATGTCACTAACGATGCAGCTTGTTAGCTTTCAGCAATCATTATTTGAAGGAGAGTGTGTCATTCACACAGCGCTGCAATAACAAAGAGGGTAGGGGTCGCACCTGTTGATACACACTGGCTCTTCTGACAGGACTATCCATCATACAAAATACAAACAAACTTCCCCAAGTATACGTCTCAGCTCTATCATAACCAAACATTTTCCTTAGAAGTTTCCTGCAGACAAAATGTTTCGACAGAAAATATTTTTCAAGAAACACTTCATCTTCAGTCAGATGAATCTCTGTGCATCTGAAAGTATGTAGGTCCAGGATGATTTTAATCCTGGACCTACATGAATTCTAGCTCGAGTTTAAGTGAAAAGTGAGAAATGATACTGCACATCTTTGCCATTTTCAACATTAGTGGCATAGAAAGTGTCACCTAACAAGTTATAAAAAATCATCTTACTATCGGTCTTATGATGAGTAGATATCATAATCTATAAGTGAATAGAGATAGTTTCAGGTGGTTTAGTTTAGCATAGCACAAAGACTAATAGCAGTGAGGAACTGCTAGCCTAGCTCCAAATAAACCCTACTCTCAACAACTCCTACAGCTACATTGCTATATCTTGTTTAATGAGCAGGTGTAGACATTGATAAGTAAAAAGGAGAATAAGCATTCAAGCTATTTGTTGACCAATCCCTGGAGACAGTAACTAGGATGCTACATGTCTGAACTCCTGTCCACATTGTGGAGCTGTCAGATCGTAAAGACAACATTTACAATAAATGAAGACCACATTGATTTATTCTTAGTGTACATTTCATTTCCATCCGTTTTCATGGACCTAGGCTAGCACTTTCCTCCTGCCTTGGTCTAGGTTTTAGTTCTAGGCTAGGCTAAACATATACTGAATGGAGAAACAATAGGTGATGAAACTGGTATCATTCTTCTCCTCTGACTCTGGGGAAGACAGAGCAAAGGATTTCAGGAAATGTTGATAGCACAGATGACTCATATGACTGGACGATGATCACAGAGACATAATCAAACTGACTGGAAGAGTGTGAAGAATCGGATTTAGATGCCAAATTTACGTGGAAACACAAATATAAAAACTTACGTCAGAGTTGAACCTCAGCTGGCACACGGTGCATGAGATGATCTGTTTCTTCTTGGGTACCAATGTAACGCCAAAAGTGTGGTTGATGACGGCCTTCTGAACCGGGTCCATCTGCAGGAGGCGAACAGAGGTCAGAGGTCAAGAGCCTGCTTAGGTTGGGATGATGCCAGAGTGATGCTGACAGGTCTCGTTATCAGTCAGCCTGTACGGCCTGCAGCTGCGACACGCTGTCACTTTTACTGTCCCTCACACACACACGTTCACACAGTCATACCGTGTTGAAGTTTGGGAACAGTCCGACTGGCGAAGCCGCCTCGACAGGAAACGACAGGAATGGTTTCATCATCATGGAGGAACCAGTGGCGCCGATCAACCCTGGCAACGTACCGCCCACTGCACCACACACACTCCCTACATAAAAGAGAGACAAAGGGTTTGAATCATGGGTTTCAGATAACTGATGGCACTGTTATTGATTACTTTGAGAGCTCTTTAGTTCTTGGAGTTTATTGGCGACTTGTTTAACATTAATGATGCATTTAAAAAAATTGCTAGACACATGACAACACCCAACACCTTTAACAAAATATTTTTTGATGTCACAGCAGTGTATTCTCTATTCAAAATAACAAATAGGAAACCAAGTTTTAAATATAAAATGTCTACAGATTGATCCACTTTGCTTGCGTCATTTTCTTTTTGGATGGAAGATGTATAATTGTGCTTCTTGTCAAACTGGAGACAGCTGTGACATCATTCAAATACCTTTGAGGAAACTGCTGTAGGAGTCATTATAAAATAGAGTTTTTACTATTTCTCTTTGGTTTGAGTGGAAGAGAACAGACGGGATTTGATTGAAAAAAAGCTGATTTTCAGATAAACTGTTAAAACGGTAACCATTTGTTTTAACATAGGAATGCCAGTGAACGGATCTTCAGCTGGCCTGTTAGCTGAGTGATACTGACACTTCTTGGCAAAGCCTGAGAAAAGCAAATAGAGGAAATCCATCTCTCTCTGATATTCATGTCATTTCAACCTGGAGACCTGAGCAGCTGATGCTGATGCTTTTCAGTAACAACATGAGGAACATATGGCACTGCAGCAGCTGGAGTCAGAGAGTGGTAATAATGCGGAGATCGAGAGTAAGAACGTGAATGAGTGGCTCACATAATGAGCCCATGTGTCCAGTCACTACAGGGCCAGTAAGAGTCCTTCATCTCCATTTAAAGAAGCAGATGGTAGAGAAGTACATTTACTCCCCAGTGACCAAATGAAGGGTTATAAACACAGCACACAATAAAAACAAGACTATTGCAAAACAAATTACTGTTATTCATATCTCAAATACATTTAAGAGCCACTCAGTGTTAGGAGCGCCTTTCGAGGAAAAGTAGCTATGGTTCTATAGTGTAAATCCAAATGTTGGTGTGAGCAGTGGTTACATATACATACACAGTGATCACAGGAGAGTTGTTCTAAAGAAACATACATGTATTACTTCTATCTCTCTAAATAGATTATAGTCACAGCTTGTAGAAGCCCTGTAGTAAATTCCTTGATAACAACAGTGTGGGTGGAAACAGAGAGCGACTAAATCAGCCCGAGGAGGAGGAGGAGGAGGAGGAGGAGGAGGAGGAGGAGGAGGAGGAGGATGGAGGAGGAGGAGGAAGAGGAGGAGGAGGAGGAGGAGGAGGAGGAGGAGGAGGAGGAGGAGGAGGAGGAGGAGGAGGAGGAGGAGGAGGAGGAGGAGGAGGAGGAGGAGGAGGAGGAGGAGGAGGAGGAGGAGGAGGAGGGGAGGAGGAGGAGGAGGAGGAGGAGGAGGAGGAGGAGGAGGAGGGAGGAGGAGGAGGAGGAGGAGGAGGAGGAGGAGGAGGAGGAGGAGGAGGAGGAGGAGGAGGAGGAGGAGGAGGAGGAGGAGGAGGAGGAGGAGGAGGAGGAGGAGGAGGAGGAGGAGGAGGAGGAGGAGGAGGAGGAGGAGGAGGAGGAGGAGGAGGAGGAGGAGGAGACGTTTTTGTCTCATTGATTTGTAGCATCAGTCCAACCTGACATTTTAAATACACTATAAACCAGTTTAAGCTATTCTAAATGCTTTATAATGTATTTCAAGCCATTCTGTTTGTGCTTTAGCAAACTTTGAATGCACTCAAATCTACTGACACCTATTTCACATGCACTATAATCCAAATCCAGCCCTAACCCTTGTAGATGAGGATTACTAAAACAGCTCTGGATGTTGATCTGGATAAACTGGATTGAGGCTTGGTTTTAGTATTAACATGTACTTAAACCAGACTAAGCAATCACAACCCAGTTTAACACATCTTAATCTAAATGCATTATAATTTAATCCATCTGGATTGAAGGTAAATCCAAGTGGTAAACCCCCATGCCTGAAAGTAAAGCCAATGTGCAAGTGCATTAAACTTGTATTGATTCAAATATCCAGGAGGGGGAGAATCCACTGGTTTTAAAAGAAGCCTGATATTATGGACGTCTGTGAGAAGATGACACTACTTCTACTTCATTGAATATTTTTTCTAATGAGTTTATGAAGACATTAGCTAGTTTTTAGACTTTTTCAATACAGCATAATGCAATCATTATGAAAATGATTGTCAAATAAGGACTCAAATTGACAATTAGGCAGGGTATGCTCAGGGGTGTCAAACTCAAATACACAGTGGGTCAAAATAAAAAAATGGGTACTAGTCGAGGGCCGGACTGGTTCAATGTTTATTGCAAAACGTATTGAAATGAATTTATTGCACATGTTAAACCTGGAACTAACAAAGCTTAAATGATTGCCTATAAAAACAACATTAAACATTAAATAATCAGTTGCATTCATGTTTTATGGCTCTTTCTGCAGCTTTTCCGGAGTAATTTCTTATGATTACATTTGTCCACAGGCCAACAACAGCTTCAAAAAAACTATTTCCCTCAAAGAAAAAAACAAACATGCCCTGTTGTCGCAAGAAACATCCATTGAGCTCAGTTTGCTGCTCTATGATAGTTCAAGCCAGATACTTGGCATCTCATCTAGTTCATCTTGGGTTCATCAAAGTTTGGGGTCAGGCTCTGAGCTGAGGACACCCTCAGGATTGAGTGAAGGTGTGCGTGCAATATACCGGCGGGCCAGATCTAATAATAATAAAAATTATCCTGCGGGCCGAAATGTAATCCACCAAGGGCCTGATTTGGCCCCCGGGCCTTGAGTTTGACACATATGCTCTAGTCTAGACTCTAGAGCAGTGGTTCTCAAACTTTTTTCACTCATGTACCCCCTTTGAAAAAAAAATTCAGCCAAGTACCCCCTGATCAGCGCAAAAACTATTTGTTAAGGAAAAAAAGTCTATATAAAGAGGTACAGTGCAGCGCTGCACCATCAGTGTCTGATTTATTAAAACAACAACATTGTAACTGAGAAGCACTTAAATGCTACATTTCAAATGTTTACAATCCATCTCTAAATTCATGGCAAACCAATTTTAACATCAAGCAATAACACTGAGACGACATTAGTTGCATTGAACTGATCTTTTTAATAAGTTGTACAATGTAGTGAGAAACATGGGCTTGTGCTTCACTGAGGATCTTTGTCATTCTGACAGGGAGGCAAACTGCAGTTATTACACTTCGCGTTTTGAAATATGTGTAACTCTGTTAATATAAAACCCACACTGCTCAAACTTTGTTACTTTTCCTAAAATTGGTATATCTATTTATTTATTTTGGGGCATGGGGAATGAAGAGAAAAAATATAGTAACATTTTATGAGCATGGGATTTTGACCCCTCATATAAACATATGTATAATGCTGCGCTATACTTTGCGGCCACACGCCGCGGCTTATTGTTTAGGTGTCCTTTGATAAGCAGGCAGTTATATAATTAACTAGAACTAGCTAGATCTGATAGATTTGGACATAGACGCGAGTGAAGTCTAACCCCCTGATCCCACCGGAAGCGTCTGCGCCGCGCTGCGACCTCCTCCTGCGTCATAACCCACCAGGCGCGTTTCAAAACGTTGTGGAAGCGGAGCATCGTGTGTGCAGCCTCGCAGTTGTTGGATGAACGTTCCACTTCCTGCCTGCGCCGCGCCGCGCCGCGTCAAAAATAGGATTCATCCTATATTTTAGAAATTCCTTGCGGCGAGGAGCTTCTGGGACGCTTCGAGCAGCGCGGCGCAGCGGGTCTGGTGGAATAGCACCCATTGACTAGAGTGGCCGCGATCGCTAAAAACGCCGCAGCCGCAGCGCAACGCAGCACAACGCAGCGCAGGGATTAGGGGGTTAGAGTTAGACCTAACACACTTAGCTAGTTTATCTACTCTGGAACTAGCTAAACTAGTTATAAATATATTTATTTTTTACTGTCAGTCACTTATTAGAGGTTCAGCGAGCTGCACGAGACTGACGGGCTGTCAGGAGAGGGAGAGGAAAAGAGAGCACCCCGTTTATTTTTCCCATTTTATTATCCAGAATTACTGTAAACCTTTGAATTAAGTAGTTAAACTACTATTAGTAGTTTGTGTAAATGCATGTGTGTATGAATTATACGTTTTTGTTTTTGTATGATTTTAGTAGAATACATTTAAAAAAAATTAAAAATGTTTTTCACATTAACATAAAATAAATCTCACGTACCCCCTGCAGTACTCCAACGTACCCCTAGGGGTCCGCGTACCCCCATTTGAGAACCACTGCTCTAGAGCATGGCAACACCTCATTGCATTTTCAAGTTTGGTTGTTTGGGTTTTTGTCATTGAACGTTATAAACAGGGGTGCACATAACTTTTTTGCCCTGGTTCTCAAAGGAGCACCTGGAGATGTTGCTTGGTGCTCATCCTTAAAATGAAATAAACTGTAACTTTTGAGGGGGTCTTGACTTTATTTGCCAGACACACGGCACTGAACACACAGAGGTGCACACAGAACACACGTGCAGACAGAGGTGAACACAAGACAACATTAGCACGACCAGTAAACAAGCTGTCATCACTACCCTCCTGACTGTTCTCCTCACTGTCTTCCTCTCTGTCAGACATGGTAGCTGATTATGTAGGCCTACTACTTTCTCTCTGGTTGAGTCTGCGATTAGCTGCTTGCATCCACAAGTCAACAGCTGGGTTTGGGTCGAAAGTCTCTGTTGTCATCTTAGAAAAGTGGATGTAATCAAATAAGTATGTGAACATAACCAATAACCTACCATAGCCAATAACAAATTAATGTAACTTATTTTATTTATGTTGTTCATTCATATCTTATTTTACCTTAACATTTATTTATTTATGCTTTTTTTTTGTATCTCCAGTTTTAGAGGATATTTTTGGTTACTGTCCTATAGTATTAGTATACATTGGAATGATTTCAAGGAGTGCCTTGGAAATATGTGTTTACATAAATTGTGACC